ATGGAAAATATAATTTTAATCTATTTATAACTCTGAGAACGATTGATAAGATAAGAACAAATGATATATCGTAAAAACAAATGTTAGATGATGCGACTCATTAAATATAAGTTTGCTAAATTCATTTGAAAATAAATAACTTTATTTAAATATTTTTCTATTTTTGAGTATTTGATTTATTTTACATACATAAACTTAATGAATAATAATAAAATTCATGCATTTAAGATCAGACAGTAACAAATCTACTTTACCTTAACTTACCAAGCCCCTAAGCTTGTGCATACATGGTGCTATAATATGCTGTGTGCAATTGATATCTTCCGTTTACGGGTGTAAGACCTACTTGACTTGTACATTTAAATAAGTTCAGCCCCTTTCCTCGCCTTATCCAAGTCCTTGTGCCGAATCATTTTTTCATTTTACACATCAGCGCCAACCTTATTCAATTTATGTTGGCAATGTATTATTCTGATATAAGTACCAGATTACTAATAGATTTGTTTGTTGTTCATAACGACGTGGTCTACTAAAAGGGTTATAAACTTTACCCGTACAATCGAAATCCACGTATGGTCTTTTTTTTGTAATGTTTATAAATAATAATACGTTACGAAAAATGCAGCAGCAATCAATCCATAACTTCGGTGGCCGCCATTTTATCGTCTCTCAATATTGCTTTACGTATATGAACTCAATAGCTTGGCAATATAATTGCAGCAGCATTGCCGGGCAAAAATGTCTGCACACTAACATTGCGGCAAAAATGTCGCTGAAAATATTTATGACCTGTTTACGAACCACTTTAGATAGATTTTTTTAATGACGAGATTAGATGTACTGTAACATATGATTACAATTATATTTTCTTAAACAAAAATTAACGTATTTGAATTGCTTCAGTTTCAAAAATAATTTGTTAATACACGCTTAAAGCGAACCTAAAAGAATCACTGCGTTGCGGTCGACAGCGTTTTATGATTCAGAGATTTACTAGTAAATTACAAGCATTGCATTTGTTTTGGTTTTTCTATTGACCACTACTGCCGTAATTCAGATACGGATATTAAATTAATTATGCACCAAAAAGGCAAAATAAATAGATTTTATTTGATCCCGACACTATTTTGCTACCCTATTATCCTATCTACTTGCATCACAACATGAATATAATTTGACGTATTTGATTTAGTGTTTTCGTCAATAAATAAGAAAAACGAAAATCAGAAGCCTAGAATAAAAATGTAATCTTAAACACTAATTTTGTCATCAGTCGGTGAGCAGCACACCTATACATAGGTACAAGTTGTACAATTCGATTAAGAATCAAAGTCATGATGTCACTCCTAAAAACTATGCTTCGTTACTTTTTAAGGGTCTACGGCCTTATCAATCCCTATGAAAACATAGCAACGTTATACTGCTATTTTATATTGGAATACTCTTCGACCAGTATCCTTTGAGCCAACCATCCGTACTCCAGTATATTATAGCTGCAGCATGGCTCTACTACGTATGAAGAAGTTATTGAACCATGCTTGGATACTACTATAATTTTTCATATCATTATCATAGACAGACTGTAAGGAATCAACACGATTTTTCTTAATTTTCTTAACATAAAAGATCAGAAAATTTAAAATTACAAACATTTAAATATTAAAAGCACTATTTTATAAACCATATATTTAATGCTAATAAATAAACGTACAAATCTGCTTCGTGAACATAGTGTAAAATTAAAGCTACGGTATTTCATTGTAATAACTAATAAGATTTAATAAATAAGCCTTAGAAGGAAACCCAACTATCAGTTGGAGAATACAAACAGTATATTTTCCTTTAAGATGTTTCGTACGGGCAACTGCCGACTGTAACCGGATTCAGAGTCGTTACGATAATGTTAATCTGACAGTTGGAATGGGCAAGATGGCATTCGCTTGCCGAGTCGTGGCTGCAATTTGTCCAAAGTAAAATACAAATGTACTCTACATTTTAAGGCATCAAAATTTTAATACAGTATCCGAGATAATAGTAATGTGGATTTGATTTATTCATGTCATTACAAATTAGTTAAAATTTTATTATATTTGATTGTTTTAAGTGATACATCCCTGAAACCACTTATTACAAAAGGCACCAACTTAGCTACGTTATCTGACTATCAGGACACACATTCTCCGACCTACAAGATTTGTAATGACGATATGCATGATGCATTTGATAATATGTATTTTTTAAATACTTAGTCAGGTCATAAGTTCTGTCAAAAACTTTTTATAAAATTAATGGTACACTTTCTAATAATAATACAGAAATTATATGTGAATAATCTTGTGACGGTGTGGACGTTCTACTTAGTATCGTGGGAGTATCTATCCCTAATTTGTTTAAAAGCCACTTTTCTGTGAAATTGCCTCTAAGACTGTAACGTTAGGATTTCGACTCTGCGACTAACAGAACTAAAATATCTACAATAATAATGGCCAAATATATAAAACAAACTATTAGCATTTTAAACGAGGTCGAGCACCGAAGCCATATGGGATTTCATTTACTTCGAATTTAGCACTTTTATTTATATTATCTATATTTATTCAAAACAGAAATTGAAATGTTGCCTGAAATGCTTTAAGAGACAAGAATAGCTTTCATCATTCAGAAAATTCCTTTTCTGAATGATGAAGTTTTGAGTTTAAAGAGATGGAAGGAATATTTTGAAAGCGTGTTTATGACCGAGGAGATGACGTATGAACTGAATGAAATAGAAATTCCGAAAGAAGAGGAAAAGATAGAGCAATAAGTATAGATGAAATAATGAAAGCAACGAAAAGCATGAAAGCAGATAAGGACGCCGGATATGATAGAGTTTCACTTCAGTATTGCTAAGGGCTGGAGGGCTTCAGCCCTTGTTCAATTTATGCTGGGAGCTGAAGCAAGTACCGGTAAACTGGTGCAAAGCCGTGATAGTCTCAATATATAAAAGAAAAGAGTTGCAGCAGGACTGTAAGAACTACCGTGATAACAGCCTTCTTAGCATTGTGGGAAAACTGTGTGCTAAGGTACTAATTGAAAGGGTCATAAAAGAAACTGATGGAAAAATTTGGGATGTGCAACCGGGATTTAGAAAGGGAATGGGGTGTACGGACCAAGTCTTCTCCATGCGCATGATTGCGGAGAAGTTTTTGGCAAAAAACCAAAAAGTTTTTGTGCGTTCATGGACTTGGAAAATGCTTATTGAAAAGTGGACAGGGATATGTTATGCCAAACACTGAACTAATTTGGGTTGAACGCTGGATTGATACAGACATTAAAGTCTCTTTATAGGGATTCTAGTGCTTGTGTTAGGATCAACGGGGTATTCTCGGACTGGTTTGGCATCCATAAAGGTGTCAGATAGGACTGTGTGGCTTCCCCGTGGCTGTTCAACTTATTTATGGACAGTTTTTCGGAACATTTCGAAGAGAAACAATGCGGATTAAGAATGGGTAGTTAACCATCAAATGCCTTTTGAACGCCGATGCTCAAGCTATTTTTGTGTCGTTGGCGGCCCAGTTGCAAATGATGGTTACATTATATGCAAATAAGACGAAAGTTATGTTTTTGAAAGAGAAAAAATTAAAACGACATGTGAAATAAGAATAGAAGGGGATTTGATCGAACAAGTAAACGAGTTTGTATATTTGGGATGTGTATTCAGCAGGGATGGGAGATATGATAAGGATATAGAACGACGAGTGAACGGTAGAAATAAAGTAAATGAGGTTCTACACTCTATTGTGGGAAGTCAGTACGTGTCAAAAAGCAAGGCACGTAGGGCATTTCACAATGCTGGTTGTGGCAGAAGAAGTACGATAGTAGAATAAACACACTAGAAATGCGTTCGTTAAGGTTCGTTCGTGTATTTTAGGGCTGAATCTTAGTGACAGTGTGAGAAATTGTGTGATACGAGAAGAGTGTAGTTTGCAAGATGATTTTGTGACCAGAATTAAGAAGGAAATGTTCCGGTGGTTTGGTCAGGTGGAAAGAATGAATGAGGAAAGAGTGACAAAGCAAATTTATGTTGCAGAAGTGAACGGCAGAGAAAGGGACATCCTAGGCGAAAGTCTATCGACCAAATTGGCGATATATTGAAAATGGGCCAAATTAGGAGTACCCTTAACCGACGAGCATGTATGCGTAGGTACATATGGATGTGGAGAAGGCGAGAGAGGTGTGTCAAGATTGTGCAGAATGGAAGTATGTAGTATCTGCCAGGCTGGGCGACAGGCGTGAGTATTTATGTATATTATACATATTATATAGATGAAAACCTTGGTGTTACCCGTTTTAAAGTATAGGAAGAGGAATGTGTCGGGAGGGTATGCATAACTACAGACCGATTTCGGTAGCCACTGTCAAATTTAACCCTTTAATTCGTAAAGTTGAGAATACTCAACATTCGAAATAAATAAATCCTGTATGAAAACTTGAACGCGTAGAAAAAATATTTTTACTTTGAAAAAAAGGTGAAACGAAACGCAACTAGTAAAAAGAAAGTTGTGTGTCACAAACGTCAGATTTTGACAGTGGCGGCAAAATGGCATCACGTTCATCTGCACCGTTTGGACCTAAGGTAAATAAAATTTATTATTAGCAATTTAAATCATATTTATACCTATTATTGCCTTGCATTTCAATTTTAAATTATTATTTTATGCACGTAATGAAAAAAAGCCTGAAAATATTGTGGTTTAGTATGTGTTTGATGGTTTTCAAGTTGAATGTTGAATATACTCAACAATGCGAATGTTACTATTATTCACCTGATTTTTTCTATGTTGAGTATTTTCAACATTGCGAAATGCTTTAGGTTTTGTCCTATAACTTAACATGATGAGTATATTCAACATTGCGCGTGTACTAACATTTATTCCCCTCTTATCTGAGACCCTATTATTGTTCATTTTTCGCTTTGGTTTTGGATGCCCTACGTTTTTTGTGTTATTTTGCTTCAGAAAATGCTTAAATGGCAACGCACGCAAAAAATTATGGCGCTTGTACCTCCCGCAAAAGCACCCTCCGATGACAGCAGCACATCTGAAGATGAAGTTATAATCAATAATTACACAAAACCGAAAAAACAACAATCATCTGACTCAGAACACAACTACGAATCATCTGAACCACGTTCTTATCCCTCTGAAATTGATGACTTAAGCTTAGATTCACATTCCGAAGATGAGATTCCTGCGACGCCATCACCTAGGCCACTACAGCTACAAAATGAAAGCAAGTCATACTTACCCAATTCCAAAGAAAATTCTCGTCCGACGACGCCTCCATCGCCAACTCCGCCTCAACAAAATGATTGCAACATACCTGAAGTACCATGTTCTGAAGTCCAAACTCCGATTTCGTCTGCGTCGATGCCACAAGATATAATGAATGATTCCATACTCCACATACCAACAATTCCCTTGTCTCCTTTAATTAACCAAATGTTTTCACCAGGCCCGTCAAATCAGCCGCTCCCATTCACACTGAATTCGGTCTCATCAGTATTATCACCTAACATGTCTCCAGCAGCACCTAATACACGTTCAAAGCGACGACAGAACACAAAACCTAAACACCCAGCGGCAAAAAAAGTAAAGAAGTTTGTAAGAAAACCTCTATCATTCAAATTCAGAGCAGGAAAACTACAGTACGCAGCTATATTTGAACCACCGAAACACGATTTCTCACCCGATCCACATCATTCAATCTTAGATTATTTCACTGACTTTTTTTCAAATGACATATTCGAATTAATAGTAGAACAGACAAACTTATATTCAGTTCAAACCGATTCGAGATCTATAAATATAACAAACGATGATGTGAAAGATTTCATAGCGATTACACTCATTATGGGGGTAGTGAAAATGCCCTCTTACAGAGATTATTGGAGTCGATTTTTGCGATATCCAGCTGTCGCTGATATCATGCCTTTAAAAAAGTATGAGAAAATAAGGAAATATTTACATTTCGCCGACAACAGCAACATTAACGACGACCGTTACTACAAAGTTCGACCAATTATTGAAAAAATTAGGCTTAATTGCTTAAAAATGAAGGAGGAACAACGCTACAGCGTCGACGAAATGATGGTCCCATACAAAGGGACAAGAGCGGGAAGTAGGCGCCAATATCTACCTAAAAAACCAAAAAAATGGGGGATGAAGTTATTCGTTCGAGCAGGCGTCTCTGGTTTAGTGTATGATTTCATTCCTTATGGTGGAGAAGACACGTTTAGAAATCATTCTTTTACTGAATACGAGGAGAGCCTCGGTCTTGGAGCAAAAGTTGTGCTAGCACTTTGCAAGACCATTGAGGATAAACCTGCAGTCGTATATTTTGACAATTTCTTTACGTCATTGGAGCTAATTCACCATTTGCGTCAAGAATACGGTATTTTTAGTCTTGGTACCATAAAAAGTAATCGTTTGAGAGGTTGTCAAAATAAACTACTAGCAGATAAAGTTCTCGCAAAAAAAGGACGGGGTGCAAGCTCCCAGATCGTCTGCAATGACACGAAACTTGCTGTTGTCAGATGGTATGACAATAAGCCGGTGACATTGGCTAGTTCATTCGTCGATTCCCATCCAATGGGAAAGATTCAAAGGTATTCCAAAGATACAGAATCTAGGGTGGAGGTCAATTGTCCTCAGATTGTGAAGCAATATAATGCCCATATGGGGGGCGTAGACTTGGCGGACATGCTTATCGCTCTATACCGTTCAAACTTTAAAACTAAGAGGTGGTACATGACCATGTTTTCACAATCTCTGGATATTTGCGTCAACAATGCTTGGTTATTACATAGGAGAGATCATGCTGATCCTAAAGACCGTTTACCTCTCAAAAAATTTCGGATACAGATAGTATCTGAGCTTTTACATAAAAACAGGACGAGGGTGACAGTGAGTCAGGAAAACGATCCTCCTAAAAAAAATAATTACTCCAGCTGCTCCAAGACCGACTGATGCTGTACGATATGACAACAATGGACATTTATCCATGTTTGTGTCGTATGGACGGTGCAAATACTGTAAAAATGGGTACACAAATATTACTTGCTCAAAATGTATCCTCAGGCTGTGTCTAGTTAGTAAGAGAAACTGTTTTTATAATTACCATGTTAAGTAATAATATGTGAATTTGATTTTTTCTACTAAGGCTGTGTCTAGCCAACTTATTCTATGATTAATTAATAAGAAATAAAACTTTATTTGATTTTCTCTATAGTTTGTTCTTTTATTTTAATATATTAGTAAACTACCTTTACAAGGGCAATGTTGAAAATACTCAACGCTCAATTTATTAGGTAATGTTCCAATATGTCGCGCAATGTTGAGTATTTTTAACATACGATATTTGATAAAGTATACAATAATAATAATAATTTCTATTTTTTTTTGGCTATAATTAGTCAACATTAATGCAATTAAACAGAAAAAAACATGTTTACATAACTTTTATTTTTATGCGCATTAAAGGGTTAAAGCGCTTAACACTCATAACGGACAGCTTTGTGAAGAAACTCATGATCTGTGGCTTACAATACTCCTGTAA